ATAAAAAAGACCGGGGTCTGCCGGGAGGTGAGATTTATCGCCTTGAGAATTATAGAAAAAATGTTTTTGTTCAGCATTCCTCTTGTCGAATTCTATGAACTGTGAAGACGTAAAATCTTTGTTCGAAGAAGTGAAAAAAATCGCTCCCAGGCTTAACATCCAAAAGTATTCCTATCCGACAAAGCCGTCTTTCTACAATGGCTTCAAGGCCGTGTTTTCGGAAAGTGATACGAATCTTCTTTCTTGTAGATTTCACACCTTACAAACATGGCTTAGGAAGGTCAAGAGTTAGTGCACGTAAGCATGAGATGCCTATGTTCGCTAATTTCCAAATTTATTCTCCAGATTGATGTTCGCGATCCTCTTGCCAAAACCCTCTCGGAACTTCTACGAATAGCCGATGAGGCGCAGTTCCAAAATCGCTTGACAGAATTATTGAGTTTTCTTGATCAGAAGGGGCAATAATCGTTTGTCGAATACCTACAGCGCAACTATCTGGTTGGTCCTTCTTTTGACATGTTAGCTCGAAGATGCGCGCAAGTATTTTAGGAAGGATTAGTCAGGGCAGGTTTTTAAAGGCAGGGGCTAATCTTCAATACGGCGATGGTGGCAGAAAGGTGGCACGGCCGGTAAAAAGCGAGCACCTTCACAGACACTCCAACGCCAGAGCGGGTTTCTTGTGTGACATCCTTATTAAAGCCCCTCAAGAACTTGCTGCTTCTTATCTCATCATGGTATGTGTCATATCACACTCGGGAAAACGCTAGTCATGCAATTTTCTAGGACAAAAGAAATTTAGCGAGGCCGTTCCGGGTTCGAGAATGTAATGCTGCCCACAGAGCTGCCCTCAAAGATTACGAAAACAACAAGGAGCTTATCACAAACGCTGGTAGCGGAAAATGGAATGTTGAAGCACTAACATCCAACAGAAAATTTCAAGTCGTGGCATATAGTTCCAGTTGCCCATGCGACGCAAAAGTAAACTGGCACTATACTTTGGGAAATTCGAAATTCTTTTCAAATATTCGAATATCGAATAATATTCGAAAATCGA